GCCATGAAGAAAAAAGTGTCAGCAAAGAGACGAAGATAAATGAGACCCTGGAAAAAAAGAAGAGAAAAGTAGAGATATATTTAAAGGGAAATGTTAAACAAAGCGAAGATTGAGACAAAGGTGACACAATGCAGATGGAGATAAGACAGGATGAGGAGAGAATTACCTGGGGGAAAGGTGAAAAGGCTCAAAGCGACTGAGATAAACCAGATTTCATGAGGAAAAGTTATGTCAAAAGGTGAGAAAAAGGAGGCAGGTAATCCAAATAAAGTCAGCGCGGAATAAAAGGAGGGTAATAGAAGGGTGACGGATGAAGGAAGAGGAAAAGGGATGGAAACATGCTTCCCCTGGGCTGCACGTAGGCCAATATTTAAGTGGTTTGTCAGGGATGCTCTTCTCAACACAAGTTTACTTCTTTTCTTTCTTTCTTTTTTCAAATCAATGGCCCCACTGCATCTTGGGTGGTCAGCTCCTCTTCAAGTTATTCACAACAACATCTTGGTGTCTCAAACTTTTCATCCACAGAGCAAATTTATTTCATGTTATGACATTACTGTTGAGCTGCAGCGATTAGAAGAACTATATGCTGGGCGGGAAACGGAAGAGAAACTCCGCTCAAAATAAAATCCACAGGAGGGGTCGAGCTTTCATGCTTGCGTGCCTGTCCTAAATAAAATGCAATGTCACCTTTGTGGTACAACACATCCTCTTAAGTTGTTAGAAAAGTGCTTTTGACATTTTTGGGTTGCGGACTTTTTCGATGTCCTTCCAGGCCTTTGCTGAGATTCTAAAAATGACTCTAGTGAGTGATCCAGTTCCACTCAGTGACCACGGGCACCCTGAATTAAATGAATCAGGTTGATACAATAGATCTTGATCAAGTCAACTGGGAAAAATCCTCAAATTAAATCCTCATAGATGACTTTGGTGTAAATCTCTGCTCTTTATCATTTAAATGTCAGAGTGGCAAAAATATAAAATGCACTGGAGAGCCAATATTTTGGGTGGCTCTATTCAGAGAAATGGGTTTCTTCCAGAATACCCTTGTCATCTGTGTAAAAGCGTATTAACTGTTCTCATTAATGATCGCCGGATATCTGTGTTGCAGTGTCCTCTTTCTTTTCAGCTCTGCTTGGAAATCTCCTGGGGAGTCGCAACGCTGAATTGAAGCTTCACTCTGGTATCGCTGAAATGACTACAGCCACTTTAAATTAGGACTTCTGTAAAGCCCGAGTGCATTTTTATACATTCAGGTGCGCCTATTTTCAACAACACGAGCAACAGGACGTTTGCAAGGAAGATTTCCCCGAGCCCGATTCTCATTTGCTGTTCATTTTGAGAAAAGCTGAAGAAACAAATATAACAGCACTGGCCAGTCATTTTCAACATAACATCCAACATAATGAGCAAACACTATTAGTCACTGCCAGTCTGACCCTATCCATGTCAAGGACACCAGCGTTTCCCTGTAATTAGCCTTGGTGGCCTGAAGGTTTTTGAAGGATTTTTCGTGGCCGTGGTCATCAGAGAGCCGGATTCCCGCTACTGAAGTAAGAATGGGGACCACAATCGGCCTTAGTCATGCCAACACTAACAAAGACGAAAGGCAGCAATGAAAGAAAAGTCAAACACTGTGGCACACGAGGCAAATGAGGCGGCACTACCAGCGCTCGCTGCTTGCATTTCCAGTAAGGCAGAGGGGAATCTTCCTCGACTTAGGCATTGGTGTAGTGGAAAGACAAAATCTGATATTATGAAAATCCATTGTTTGCATAACTGGGTTCACGCAGGCAAATGGACCGGAGTCGGCTTTACTGACAGTCCACCTAGATTTCTTTCATCACACTCACAGGGATTAAATCTAATCCGGCATTTAGTGCAACTTTATTTCAAAGGACGCATTAAACTAATGTTCTTCTTATTTCAAAAAATAAAGAAAGAAAGAAACACCACAACGCAGATGATGTAACAACTAATCAGCCTTTTTAGCTTTTTTCCACACACGGCTGGAGTTTCTCCGCTGTAGATCCTCGCAATTAGAAACACCCTGTTGGGTTTGGGTGGGGGCACTGCCTTGATAGAGCAAGCAGGAGGGAGGGCACATCTAACCTATTACTGCCCGCTCTATTCTTAAATGGATATAAAACAAGCACAAGACCAGCTTGGCACTAGAGAATTGGCCAGTAAAAGACTGGAACTGTCCCACCCACTAAACAATCTCACGTGCAGCTGCACGGTGGTGAAGTCTAGAAAAGTTTCAGGACTACGGAGCAAGTGTAGAAGTGTTTAGAGTCAAGCAAATAAGGAAGCAGCATGTGTGTAACGGACGGCTGTTTATCATGGAAATGTTGTTTAACTCTGTAAAGCCTGAACCACAAAATAACTGCTGGAAAATTAGATTTAAAAAAAAAAACTGAAGTGTTTTTATTGAACCTTTTGGCAACTTAGGAAGAACAAAAAGAAATGAAATATAAATGAGCCTATATGAGTTTTTATTTGTACATTTCTGGTACTTCGGGCATTTTTATGCAACATAATGTTTAAAAATTTACTCAAAAACTCTTCTAAATGAAGCTCAAGCTCGCATTAATTCAATTGATTAGTAATGTGAAACCGGTCCATTTCACTTTGTGACAGAACAACATGGACTCAATACAATCCGGTCTTCAAGCGATGACGTATGAACCCTGCTTCCAGGTCCAAACTACTCTGCATTTATTAAGGCTGTTTTTTTAATGGTTTTAATGCTTTGTATCTTGTTATTTAATCTAAACAAACCCCTAAAAAAAGTCAGTGGATAGATTATATCAGTGGTTCTGACTGAAGTTTGGTCCGTTTACAGGATCCTGCCATACAATTGCATTTCTCCAAAACCATCAGGAACCCTCACGTTAACTTTTATTGAGTGTAAAAAGGTTAACGTTCATCCTCCAGCGTCACTGTGCTAATGTGTTTATGTCATGCTAACCATAGCTGTGTAGCTAGCCACCACGTAGCATCATATGCCAGCTAGCCAAACTTCAGTAACCCTACAAACGTGGCTGCTGTTTAGTTTTCTGTCTGTCAGTTATATATTAAGTTATAGCAGAGCTGTGCGTTTTAATTTTTTCAGAAATCTCTCAGTCACAACATAGTATATTATGTTTAGGTGGAAACTAGCGAGCTAACTTCCTGCTAACTTCTAACTCCGTTAAATTTCATAAATCCTGTTTTCACAGACGCCTGTATTTTAAACTTAATTTTTACACCTGTCAGAGCAGCCAAACTGATCATTTTATTAAAGATTGAAAAATTTAGACAGTTTAACTCTCAGTGATGCCGCAGTGTTCGTTTGACTTTGGGACCTGAAGCGGAGTTTGGACCCAGAAACAGCTAATGGCGTCAGACTTAAAGACCGGATGATGTTCTTTCAAAGCGCAACATGTGATAAATCTGTGGGTAGGGAAAGAGTGTCCGGTCCACCTCTCACCTCTGCTTCAGTCTATACAGATCTCTGTCCAAACTCCTGGTACAATTGTGTTGTGGGTAATTTAGGCATCAAGCTTGCAAAAAGAAAGTGCATAGAGTGTATCTATTTTGATTTTTTTTTCTTTAATGACTCAGAGAAAACTAAAGATGTACACTGTTTAATCAGTGACATTGGAAACAATGTGTTGTCCCTTTTCTCTCTTTCCTCAAATGCTGTCTCAAGTCATCTTCAGTCACAGTGAGCAGCTTTACCACCTTGTTGAAAACATTCAATGACTGACAATCTGACTCTTTGCTAAACAGTGTCACAGTTGCACCTCAGGCGACAAATGGCCTATTATCCTAATACCCC